TCTCTGTGGATGTGCTGGACTCCCCTGGGGTGGAGGCCTCTGTTTCAGGGCTGGAGGAAAGGAGGGCGGCTGTGGTGGAGGAGTCAGTGGTAGGCAGCAGTGTTGAGCTCTCCACGGGTGTTGAGGAGGTAGGGACAGCTGGGGACACAGTCGCTGTCACCCCCATGGCAGTGGTCTCTGCAAAGAGTTGGGACAATGAGATGCACAAGGGTTGGTGGTGAAGAGCTGAGTCCATGGCTGCGCTGGGCATGGTGCAGCATCACCCCCACAGGGAGCTCCCCAAGGAGCTCAGAGCTGCACCAGCCATGGAGCACTGGGAGGGGGAGTTCACTGTCCTGCATGGATCACACACACAGATCTCTTCAATGGGTACCAGCCAGGCTGACCACACAAATCCCCTGCCTGGCAAAGCAGGAACAAGCCATGGCCATTGCTGGTTTCAGGGCAGAAACTCCTCTAGGTGCCAGTCCTAAGACCCATTCCACCACCTTCACCCATGCCTGGAGGAAGTCAGACAAACCCGTCTGACAGGAAGAGCCAAGCAGGAACTGGTGACCGTGAGACAGTCTGGAAGTGCAGCAGCAGCAGTTTAAACAAACCCTCTCTGCTGCAGATAGTCAGGAACTGATAGCACTGGGTGTAAATAATGGCAGCGGGGGAAGCAGCCCCACAAAGGAACAAATCCCAGGTTGCAGCTCAGGATGAGCAGACGTGCTGTGACCCACAGAAGCTCTGGGAGGGAGGGGGTGGGGCACAGGAGGGCTGTCCTCTCTTCCACTATGGACTGTGTGCTGTCCCCAGGAAAGCCCAGGGATCTGTAACCCTCTCCAAAGGACAGGTAGGACACCCTGGCTACCTGGACCTTTGTCAAGGGTTGTCTGTGAGGTGGTGGCTTTGGGATTCCAGACTGGATTCCCCAGTGATGCCAGCATAAACCCAGTGAGTCTGGGGCTCTGCTTGCATGAGATGGGAAACTAAACCACAAGCTGCTATCTGCATTCAGCCAAGCCAGCCAGAAACTTCCAAAACCCCAGGCAGCCAGGCCCTCTCTGCACACAGCAGCTGGTTAAATAAAAATACAGAGAAGGACAAAGGTCTGACCCTAGCCCTTGCCAGGTGAGCATCTGCACAGAAGGGCCTCATCCTCACAAAAGGAGAAGCAGCAAGCCCACCTCTGCTTCCCAGTTAAGAAGCAGGACACAGCCCCACAGCACTCCACCCCCCTGCACCCCACAGGGGCCACCCCTCCACCCTGGGGAACGATGCTCCCCACTCACCCCCCACCCTGCAGAGAGCACTGCAGCCCACGCAGCCCTTACCCAGAGCCAGGTGCAGCACGGAGAGGCAGGTGAGGCTCAGCAGCAGCAGCAGCAGCAGGGGCCAGAGCAGGGGCAGGGCCAGCCCTCCTCTCTGCCCAGCCATGTCCAGGTGAGCAGGAGCTGACAAAGCCCCGCAGGCACCGCTCTGAGTGCTCCCCACAGCCCCAGCACTGCGGTTTCCAGGTCTCCTTCACCCCGCAGAGGAGGAGCATCCAGGTGGGTCCCTTTACCCTCCAGGTGCCGGCAGCAAGGCAGGGGGTTCCACCTGACACGGACACTCCCAGGGCCTGCTGCAATGCCCAGCCAACATCAACCGCACAGCTGGACCCAGAACAGCCACAAAAAGCGGGCAGGACAGGCCACCAAGGCCACCACCACTACAGACCTGGCTCCTGTGGCCGTCCTCTGCCTGCTGTGGGGAGGGTGACAACAGAAAAAAGCCCAGGAATGCTCCAGGCTGCCCGGAGCCCCGTACTTCGCCACAGGGGTGATGTTTGGTGGTGTCTCCCAGCACCAACGCCCTCAGGAGACAACAGCCAGCTCCGTCTGAGCGCGAGGAACCGGCCAGGAGAACAGGCAGCGCTCAGGAAGGGCGTGCCCAGGCTGAGGGCTTGTCCCCTGGGCTGTCTGTGCAGGCATCACTTCCCCGTGTCACAGCATATCGCGGCCCCAGCGTGCTGCTCACAGCTGCGGCTGCTTCCTTCTTCTCAGGGTCAGGGACAAGAGCACTCGGAGGTGCCAGCATTCCCCAGGCAGGCAGGCAGGCGTGCTGGAGGATTGTCAGGGCACAGCCACCCTCTGTGAGCAGCTGCATGGGGGCACTGCCAGGGCACAGGCACACTGAGGCCATCACCAGGGTGCTGGCACCGTGATGAGGCGCTCTCACAGCAGGCACGGGGCCAGGGTGAGGTACTCTGTGAGGATACACCAGCTCTGCTGGGGTACAGGGACACCAGGAACACGCGCACGGCCAGGGGTACCGGGGCAGGGTACAGTGTCCCTGTCCTGGCTGAGGTGCACAGGGTGGGCTGTCACCAGGGGACATCTGCAGCCCCAGGATCAAGGCTCCTCCAAAGAGCCACCAGGAGACAGCCACACTGACAGGACACAGGTGCCCAGTAAGCAGCACTGCCAGGGGACTGCAGGGGTACAGGGTACACAGATCTTCCGGGGGGTGTACACACAGGCTCAGTGCTGGGGGCACAGCCACATGGCAGTACTGTCACACAGGTCCCCAGCCTGGGACCCAGCCACTGGCCTGCAGAGCCTGGAGACCGGGTGGCCCCTGGGGGAAGAAGCCAAGTGCTTGGCTGAGCAAGTTGGGAGATTCCATGGGGATTTGCCACCCTGATCCTGCCCTCCGGGTGCCCTGTAGCTGCACTCACCTGCAGTGTCACTGGGGATCTCTGGTTCTGTCAGGGTGGAAGTAGCAGGGGTGGTCCCAGGGACCTCTGTAGCGGTAACAAGGGAGGTCATAGTGTCTGATGGGGTCGTCAAGGGCCCATCTGAAGTGTCTGTCACTGCTGGGGTGGTGGAAGAAGAGGTGGTGCTGGTCCCAGGGGATGTGCTGCCAAGCAGTGTGGTCATGGCTGACTCTCGGTGGGTGCTGGTGCCAAGTGTGGTGCCCACCCCGGTGGAAGAGAGAAGAGTAGAGGTGGAGGGAGGCAGCATGGTCATTTCAGTTCCAACTGAGCTGACAGCCAGGTCTGTGCTGGTTCCCACAGATGTGAAAGTGGTAGTCTTGTCACTGCTGGGTGTCACGGCCATGGAGGTTGGAGTTGGCGTGCTGGTACTGCTGGATCCCAGCCCTGCTGGGGCACTGCTGGTGCCTGCTGGGGCACTGCTGGTGCTGGATCCCAGCCCTGCTGGAGGGGTGCTGGATCCCAGCCCTGCTGGGGCACTGCTGGTACCTGCTGGGGCACTGCTGGTGCTGGTGTCTGCTGGGGCACTGCTGGTGCTGGATCCCAGCCCTGCTGGGGCACTGCTGGTGCTGGATCCCAGCCCTGCTGAGGTGGTGCTGGATCCTATCCCTGCTGGGGCACTGCTGGTGCTGGTTCCCAGCCCTGCTGGGGTGGTGCTGGATCCCAGCCCTGCTGGGGCACTGCTGGTGCTGGATCCCAGCCCTGCTGAGGCGCTGCTGGATCCTAGCCCTGCTGGGGCACTGCTGGTGCTGGTGTCTGCTGGGGCACTGCTGGTGCTGGATCCCAGCTCTGCTGGGGCACTGCTGGTGCTGGATCCCAGCCCTGCTGGGGCACTGCTGGTGCTGGGTCCCAGCCCTGCTGGGGCACTGCTGGTGCTGGGTCCCAGCCCAGGTGACACAGGAGTGCTGTCAGCTGTGCTGCCCCGTGCCTGTGGTGTGGAGGTGTTGGTGGCTGCCAGGCTGCTCTGCTGAGCTGTAGAAGCACTGGATGTGAAGGCATCCATTGGCATCTCTGGGGTGGAGGTTGCAGGACGAGAGGAAGGGAAGGTGGCTGCAGTGCTTGAGCTGGTGTTGGGCAGTGGGGCCATGGTCTCTGTGGGCGGCAAGGAGGTTGGGAGAGTCAGGGGTGCAGGGTTTGTCATATCTTTGACAGTGGTCCCTGCAAAGAGGCAGGAGACAGCACACAAGGGCTGGCAGTGACAGGCTGTGCTGGGGATGGTGCAATATTACTACCACCATGAACTGCCCAAGTCTTGCATCAGCCATGGATCATCAGGAGTGGGGATTCCCTGTCCTGCATGGATCAAGCATGTGGATTCCCTGAATAGCAACGTGACAATCAGCCAGGCTGACCACACAAATCCCCTGCCTGGCAAAGCAGGAACAAGCCATGGCCATTGCTGGTTTCAGGGCAGAAACTCCTCTAGGTGCCAGTCCTAAGACCCATTCCACCACCTTCACCCATGCCTGGAGGAAGTCAGACAAACCCGTCTGACAGGAAGAGCCAAGCAGGAACTGGTGACCGTGAGACAGTCTGGAAGTGCAGCAGCAGCAGTTTAAACAAACCCTCTGTGCTGCAGATAGTCAGGAACTGATAGCACTGGGTGTAAATAATGGCAATGGGGAAATGCTTTGCGGAACTAGCCCCACAAAGAAACAAATCCCAGCTTGCAGCTCAGGGCATGTCCATGAGAGCCTGCTGCAGCCCACAAAAGCTCTGGGAGGGGGTTGAGGGGTGCAGCAGGAGGGGGTCTACAGCTGCAGTTCAAGGCTCTCAGGAGGTACAAGCTGCAGGTTTATTCCCAGTGCTCCACTCAAGACTGCTCTTACTTTGCATCAAGTGCAAATGTTGGGATGGCATTTGAAGGTCTCCAGGCCTAGTACCTCCCAGTGAGGTTGCCATCTGGGCAGGGCCATTTGGTGCTACTGGGCAGGTTGTAGCAAGGCAATGAGCCCAGCAAGGACCAAGGCTCAGCAAGGGGGTCTAGCTGACCCTAAGGTCTTCTCTTACCCGATGGAGACACATCAGAGGCAAAAGAAATAGAGCTTGTTGCTTGTGTTCCATAAAGCACTGCCTTGTTTGCTCACTAGGACAGGGATGTTGGAGAGCAAAGAACACCCAAAGGGCTTTACCTCTGTGAGTGAAGCCACCCCAGGGCCACCCACCACCCTGGAGAACGACGCTCCTCACTCACCCCCCGCCCCATGGATAGCTCCACACACCGCTCAGCCCTTACCCAGCGAGAGATCCAGCACAGCAAGGCTCAGCAGCAGCAGGGGCAGCCCTCCCGTGCCCCGAGGCATGGCCAGAACCAGACCCCAACGCCTTGCAAGCTGAGCGACCTGAGGACACAGGGCCTGGGGAAGGCGCCAGTGAGGAACTACGCTGCGGGGCGATGGCTGAAGGTACTTGGAGCTGCTTCCTTGTTCCCGGGCGGAGGGAGGGGAGGCACCCGCGGGCACTGACCCCTCCCGGGGCAGGTGCTGCGCCTCGGGCGCGCCGGGGCCATGCGAGCAGCACCTGCGGCAGGGCGGGGCGGGCCCGGCCACAGCCCCGCCCCGGGCACGGCCCCGCCCCGGGCACGCCCTTGGCACCGCCCACGGCTTGTGTAACAGCCGGGCCGCGCCTGCCAGGTAGGGATCGGGATCGGGATCGGGATCGGGATCGGGATCGGGATCGGGATCGGGACCCCCGGAGCGGATGGGGCCGGGGGCCGTAGCACCGTTGTTCCCCGGTTCCCGAGGGCCGGGCTGGGCGGGGGACGCGCATCCGGGATCGGGATCGGGATCGGGATCGGGATTGGGCCTGGGATCGGGAATGGGAGCGCCTGCCAGGTAGGGATCGGGATCGGGATCGGGATCGGGATCGGGATCGGGATCGGGATCGGGATCGGGATCGGGATCGGGATCGGGATCGGGATCGGGACCCCGACCGGGATCGGGACCCCGACCCCCGGAGCGGATGGGGCCGGGGGCCGTAGCACCGTTGTTCCCCGGTTCCCGAGGGCCGGGCTGGGCGGGGGACGCGCATCCCCCGGGCTGTGCGGGCGGCCTGGGGCTCGCAGGGAAGCGCAGGAGCTCAGTGCGGCCTGTTGTCCTCCGGCAGCGCCGCCACGCTGCTCCGGGCCGCGCTGAGGATGCGGCGGGGACGAGCGAAGCGCGGGGCCGAGGCCGCGGAGGAGCCGCGCGGGTCGCGGAGGAGGACGGAGGGAGAGCAGGCGGTGGAGGAAGCCCGTCGGAGGGCGGCCCCGTCCGTCCGAGAGTTCAAGTACAACAAGAAGCGGGTTCGCCTTGTCTCGCAGGGCTCGGACCTGAAGGATGATGCCCGGTGCATCCTTTACTGGATGTGCCGGGATCAGCGAGTGCAAGGTGCGAACCGGCTGGTGGAAGGGGCTCCCTGGGTGGTAAAAGCGCTGGTCCCCTCCTTCGATAACTTTGGTGCTGGCCCCACTCTCTACAGGGGGGTCTGGGGGGAGACTTCCTGTGAAACCCCATCCTGTCAGTGAAGCACCCTCCTGACGCTGCCCTGTGGACTTTCCCCCAGATAACTGGGCTTTCCTCTACGCCCAGCGCCTGGCCCTCAAACAGGAGCTGCCTCTGCATGTCTGCTTCTGCTTGGTGCCCAAATTTCTGGAGGCCACCATCCGCCACTACAGGTTCATGCTGAGGGGCCTGCAGGAGGTAGCAGAGGTACAGCCAGGGGATGTCCGTGCTGGGTGGGACAGGGCGAATGGGGAAGGGAGGAGGCAGATCCATCCCTTCAGCAGATGGTGGCTGGGTGGGGTTGCAGAGCCATGAACTGTCCCATAGCCATTTCCCTGTCACTGCAGGAGTGTGCAGAGCTGAACATCTCCTTCCACTTGCTGCTGGGCTATGCCAAGGATGTGCTGCCCACGTTTGTGACGGAGCATGGCGTGGGTGGGCTGGTGACAGACTTCAGTCCCCTCCGCCTCCCCCGGCAGTGGGTGGAGGACGTCAGAGAACGGTTGCCAGAGGATGTGCCATTTGCACAGGTGGGTGCCAGCACTCTGGGAATGGAAAACTGGCTGGTGAGATGTGGGACAAACTTGTGTCCCATGTCTTGCGCACCGGAGTGACTTGAGCAGAGAACACGCGTGTCACGTTGTCAGGATTGTTTGTTTCTCACACCCTTCTCCATGGCTTTGCTCCCAGGTTGATGCCCACAACATCGTGCCCTGCTGGGTCGCCTCCCCCAAGCAGGAGTACAGCGCCAGGACCATCCGGGGCAAGATCCACGCTCAGCTCCCCGAGTTCCTCACCGAGTTTCCCCCTGTTGTTCGTCACCCACATCCGCCCTCCTGCCCAGCAGAGGTACCTGCAGGAGACACTCAGACCCATTCCTGGGCTGGTCTCAGAGTGTTTCATAAGTCCTTTGTGATCCTGGGAGGGGTTGGCAGGGAATGAGGACAGTGACCTGCCTGAGGTCACACACAGATGATGTGGAGATGAGGATGCCCTGGGGAAAGGGAGGTTCTCACCTCATTCATTCAATTCCCAAATCTGTGCCAAGAAGAGGGGCATGCAAGAGGAGGAGGATTAGGGACTTTGCTGGTTGAGGTCATAACATTCAGGGCAGCCCTTGCTGAAAAGTTTCTGCAGATGCACTCACTGCTTGGTTGCCACCCAGCCCATTGCTTGGGAGGCCTGTTATTCCAGCTTGCAGGTGGACCACACTGTGAAGGAGGTGGAGTGGGCAACCCCTGGCACAGCTGCAGGGATGGCTGTGCTGAAATCCTTCATTGCAGAGCGGCTGAAATCCTTCAGCAGCCACAGGAATGATCCCAACAAGGCGGCTCTCAGCAACCTGTCCCCGTGGCTTCACTTCGGTGAGTGTCCCAGGCTTCCCACTCTGCGGCAGGACTGAGCATTGTGGCTTGGACCAGCAGCCTGACTTGGTGCTTCCCCATGTCCCCAGGCCAGGTTTCCACCCAAAGAGCCATCCTGGAGGTGCAGAAGCACCGGCGCAATTTCAAGGAGTCGGTGGATGCATTCGTGGAGGAGGCTGTGGTGCGGCGGGAGCTGGCTGAAAACTTCTGCTACTACAACGAGAACTACGACAGTGTGCAGGGTAAAATCCTGGGGCACGTGGGCCGTGCTGGCTACCCAGCTGGTCACTCCAACCTGGCAGTCTCAGTTCTGCTAAGAGAAGGGCTCTGGGGGCACTAATGTCCCAACATTTTGTCTCTTTTGGAGGTAGGACAGAAGCTGACGAGTGCCCTCTTCAAGACTGGTGCCTCCAGGGCACAGTGCCCTCAGTAGCCTGGTTCTCAGGACCCTGCAGAACAGGTTGCTCAGTGTTGCTCCTCATCTCTTGCTCACAGGTGCCTATGACTGGGCACAAACCACCCTGAATCTCCATGCCAAGGACAAGAGGCCTTATCTGTACAGCCTGCAGGAGCTGGAGCAGGGGACCACACATGACCCGCTCTGGAACGCTGCCCAGGTACTGCCCTACATCTTCCCCACAAAATGCTGAGCTTTTTTCTGAGGCGCAGAGGTGACCTGCCTTGTACTGACCCGTATGGCTGTCCCCTCCCTGCAGCTGCAGATGGTCCAGGAGGGCAAGATGCACGGCTTCCTGCGGATGTACTGGGCCAAGAAGATCCTGGAGTGGACGCGCTCCCCTGAGGAGGCCCTGCAGTTTGCCATCTACCTCAACGACCGCTACGAGCTGGACGGGAGGGACCCCAATGGATACGTAGGCAAGCTGCAGGATGGGGGCACGGGGTGGGAGGCCTTAGCTCTGATGGCCAAGGCTGCAGGGGGGGCTCTCTGCAGGCAACTCCAGCCCATTCTGCTTGGCACTCCCACCCCACTTGCTCTGTGGGTGCCTCCGAGCGAGGGGCAGAGCTGAGGCTGGTGTCCCTGTGCCCGGCAGGCTGCCTGTGGTCCATCTGTGGCATCCACGACCAGGGCTGGGCGGAGCGGCCCGTCTTTGGCAAGATTCGCTACATGAACTACGCCGGCTGCAAGCGCAAGTTCGACGTGGAGCAGTTCGAGCGGCGCTACGCCCCCACACCCTCCCAGTGACCCTCTGGCCTGGGCAGATGTGCCTTTGCCAGGCTGCCAGCTTGCAGGGATCACCCAGGGCAGATATCACCCTGGGATGTTGAAGGGCTCTTTGTTACTGAGGGCTCCTTCCAGCAGCAAGCTCCAGGGTTCTGCTCATCTTTGCCATCTCCCACTGCTCGAGTTGCCACGCTGGGGCAGCTGCTGGAGCCCTTCTGCTGCCACAAGTTTGCTGGCAGCTGTGAGAGCCCATCCTCGGCATGCCTGTGCCTGCCAGAAACCTTTCTACAACCTCAGGAGTAGCCCAGGTCAGCATTGTTGCTGGTAACCACAGCTGAGATTTGGGCTGAACAGGGTGTTTCTAGGGAAAAGCCTCCAGGAAGAGGCTCTTTGTGGAGCCAGTGCTGGGCTGTCATCTTTCCACAGTTGTTTTAAAGTTTACAGTTTCTATCACCTGTGTTGATGGTGTTTATGGGGAGAAGCACAACACTGCTGTGAACAGAGTTTGGTGGTGTGGAATGGAAATGCAAGCAAGGACAGGGCAGCCAAGGCCAGGCCCCTGTGCCAGCAGCAAAGGCAGGCTCTGGAAGGGGACTGACATTACAGAGCCCTTGTACCTTGTGCCCTGAGTCCAGTGGGCAGTTTGCAGGGGAAGGCCACAAACCAGACTAATTAGTCAAGGGGCAGTGACAAAAACCCCCTCCCAGTGACTGCATCACCAGCTGCATGAGCTGTCCCTTCCATTGCTCCCTGCCTGCCCCATCACCTCGAGGTGGAATACACACCATCACCCCACCTGAAACAATGTCACAACACAACCAGACTCCTTATGAATGTTGTTTATTAAGGACGGCATTTTAATTGCTGTGCTGTGCAATAACAATCCCATTGTGAGGGCTCCAGTTGACAGCCAGGGCAGCCCCAGCTCTCCCTCCCAGAGCTCCCTGTCGTGGCCAGTTCCAGTGTTAGCTGTAGTGGTCAGTGCTGGGCAGCAGGGTCAGTGCTGGGCACAGTCTTGCCCTGGAGACCTGTGCCAGGTTTGGGAGTCCTGCTGCTTCCACACACAGTCCATGGTGGAGGGTGGAAACCATAACTAAGCCAGAATTCCTTCCCTCTTCTCAAAAAGTACTCAGTGCTTCTAGAAAGGGATCTGGGCAGCCTCTCAGCTGCTGTCCCATGCCATTAAAGTGCTTCAAACAAAATAGGGTGGATGGAGGTGTGCTGCTGAGGCAACTCCAGGAAGGGGGTCCAAGATCCAAGCAACAGCAGGAGGGCTTGGCTTGAGGACAGGCAAGACCAAGGCAGACCAGCATCTGGCAGCCCCAGGGCTTGCAGAGACAGAGTGAGCAGAAGAGCAGCTGCTCTTCTGGGGAAAAAAAGCAGAAGCAAGACACAAGGCAGCAAAAACCCCAGGGGAGCAAGTGGGGAGCTGAACCCTGCTTTCAGGACTTGGTCAGGATGCTGCAGGGGAGAGATGCAGCAGCCCAGCCCTCACAGCAAGGTTTGCAGCCACATGTCCTGGACCCAGCCTCTTCCCCTCTCCCCAACCCTGCCACCCCCACAGGGAGAGCCCAGGAGGGGTCACATCCCAGCCTCGAATCAGGGCATGTGCTGAAAGAGCCACTGCCCTTGAGGCCTCCTGCCAGTGCACTGCTCTCTGGTCCCTCAGCACCCTCCTTGCACGTACACAGGCCACACCATCCTTCCTAGCAGCCCACATGCACCTGTGCTGAGGTGGTGCTGGACATGCCCCACGATGCAGAGGCACCTCCTCAGCTGGGCACAGAGCTCACCTTGTCCCACTGGGTCTGACCCTGACCCCGCAGAGCTGTCACTTGTGGCAGGTGACACAAGTGCATCAGTGAGGAACCAGTCCTTGGCAGCACCCCAGTGCCAAAGCCCTCTCCCCTGGGTATCCCTGTTGCAAGCAGGCTGCCTGACCATCCCACCACAGCACAGCTGGGAAGCTTCAAAGCTTTGCCTGGCTCAGGGACCCTTCCTCCCACCAGGGAAGCAGGAGATCCTGCTGGGAGAGGGGATGAGCTCCATCCAGGGGTGAGGAACCAGGAGCAGGATAATCCTGGAGATTTTATACTGGTGAGTCCCAAGTAGATCACATGCCCCCTAAGAAGGCATTTCAAGCAGCACCTCCTTGAGGGGAACACACAGTTAAAAATACAAACAACCACATTAAAAAAATAAAACCAAGTCCAGCAGATTAAAAAAAAAAAACCGAAACAACAAATCAACTAAACAGAGGCTTGGGGATGCAGCTGGAGGGACGAGCCTTCACCTGCATCCTGACAGGTGTCAGGCAGAGGCAACTCCACACAAGGCAGGTTCTGGTGCCACCAGAGTAAGGTCCCATGTCATCCTTAAAGGAGGACATATCTCCCTGGTAGGATAGATTGGCAGCATGAGGAGGAAGTACAGTCAGAAGCCTCACCACATCCCATGGAGGCAGATTTCTATGGAGCCATGGGGATCTGCCTGCCCAAAGTCCACCAGCACATCCACTTGTGCAGCTGCTCCAGGGGCAATGTCCCTCTGCAGCACAGGGAAATCTGGCATTTTCATCATTGCCACATCCTCTGCTCTGATTCTGGAGTCAGAGCAACTGCTCTCCAGAAGTGTCCCACAGCACATTTGAGAAAGGGAGCTGTTAAATATACAACCAACCCCAGACCCCACCCTCCCTCCATGCACACAACCCCCAGCAGCAGAATGGAGGATCACAGGACTGAGACCTGATTCCCTCCTCCAAGGAGCAGATGTAACCAGAGCTTCCTAGTATACAGCTGATGAGCAGCAAGTGCTGACCCTTCAGGGGACCCTGCTCAACTCAGAGCAGGGCACAGGGATGGACAGCACAGCCCTGCTGGGTCCAGCATGAACAACTGCTCAGAAAAGGTCCCTGTTCTGCCTGCAGGACAGGCAGGAGCAGCTGCCTCTCCCCAAGCACAGGCATCAGGGAGTGGCAGTGGTACCTGGAGCAGATCCACACGGTGGAATATGCTCCTTTCCCAGCCCAGCAGTCCTGGATGTGGGAAAAGAAATCCCTTCAAGACAGTGCTCCAGGCCTCCCAACACTCCTCATCCCCAGTCCGTGTGGCTCAGTCTCTGGTGATGAAGGCCATGCACATAAATAAACAAACCCATGATCTGCTCCTTGGCTGCAACACTCTCATGTGGCTGCCACTGCCTCCGGCGGCTCCAGCTCCTCGTCGTGGTCCGAGCTGCAGGGCTCCCTGCTCTGCCTGGCCAGCAGCGCTCTGCGGGCTTCCAGGCGCTCGCACCGCGGACAGCGGCTGCATTTGAAGCAGGATTTGTGGTAGCAGGCTTTGCACTCTGTGGGGGAGAGCAAGGCTGAGTGCTGCTACAGGCTGACAGACTGCCTGACATTCCACACCCCGGCTCCCTGCACTAGCTCATGAAGCTTTGGAAGCACAGGAGGGAGGATTTCTGCTCTGCACAAGGTCCCTCCCCAAGCTTTCCTGATACACCAAGGAAACAGTGACTTTGCCCCACATTTTCTCTGGCACTGCACCTGCCAAACCAAGGCTTGCATGTTGTCAGGAGCCATTTGATGCCAGTTCAGAGGCTGGTCCCAAGACATAGGGCCATTAATACTGGGCATTATCAAGGATGTCCCCTGAAGGGGCCTAGGGATTTCTTAGCAGGCAGGAAGGGCACAGAGATAAAGCCTTCAGGCTCTCTCTGCTCTGCAAGCTCAGCTCCAGCCATCCAAGCAGAGCAGGGGAGCTGTGTGCGGGCTGCAGCCTGTCCTGTGAGTGCAGCAGGAGGGAACCAGGCCCCCCACACACCCACTCACTGCAGTGACAGCCCACAGCTGCCAGGGCAGGCAGCACAGAGCGTGGTCAGGTTTGCTTTACCACGCCAGCAAACACTGTGACAACGATGATCTGCTGCTGTTGTAACATAGCAGACACAGGCCATGCATAGGGGCACTCTGGTCTGTCTGGCTGCAGCTCTGTACCTCTTGCTAGCACAAATGCCACTCAAAGTGGAAGCGGACCTTGGTGGCCCCAGGGTTTGTCCCCTCTCTGTTTTTCCCCAGTATCTCACCTTCACACGTCCTGCACTTGTTGAGCTCAAAGGGGAAGATGATGTCATCCTCATTCTGGCAGAACTCACAGATGAAACCTTTGGCTTGGCACAGCTGGAAGAAGAAAAGATGAGGAAAAAGCAGCTAAATGCTCATCTTCCTGGCAAGTAGGACAGAAGGTAGAGTAGAGCAGGACAGCAGGCCACAGTGTCCTGCTCTAACCTGGTGGGACAGCCCTTCCCCACCATGGAGCACAGGAAGGCTGAATCCACCTGTCAGGGGCAGGGGAGAGCCAAAATAGGGTAACAAATATCCCATTTGTGCTGAGTAGGAGGAGCTCTGTGAAGCAGGCAGGAAGATTTAGCGTTGAATCGGTTAATCTGGTGGCTGTTCTGCACACCAAAGCCTCCTCATCAGTTATCTTTGCAGCAAAGCCTGCTCCAAAGGGTCCAGAGCCATGCAGGAGGCAGGAGAGGAGGCCTTACCATGCACTTGTCAATGTGCAGGCTGCCTGCCTTCAGGAGCTCTGTCAGGCGAGGCATCAGGTCCCCTTTCTTGATGGCACTAAAGTCATTCAGTGAGTAGAGGTGCAAATCCTCTGTCAAGTGGCCAGGCACTGTGTCAAAGGAGTCCAGGAGGCTGCAAGGACAGAGAAACCAGAGCTCAGAGCAAAGTAACTCCAGTAAGACCCCTCCCTTCACTCCTCATGCTTTCTCTTCCCCTCCAGCCCCCCCTCTCCCCAGAGCTCAATGCACAAGCTGCACAGATTCCCAGTGCAAATTGCCTGGGGACAGCAGCAGGACAGCAGGACTCACTCTTTAGCTAGCCGGCACGTCTTGAACATGTTCTTCATGTGGAAAAGCTGGATCCGCAGCAGCTGGAGAGGAAGGGGGCACAAAGAATCAGTAAACAGAGCATGGTCCTCAGCCAAGCAGGTCTGCCCCATTCCCTGTGCTGCTGAAATAACTACTGCTCCTCAGCTGCTGCTCCCCTGTTTCCAAAGTGTTTACATCACACAGGGCAAGGCAAGCACAACCATTGTCATGTGCTCCAGGAGATAAACTGAAGCCCAGATGGATACCAGCCAGAAATTCCTATTTGATTTTCCTATGAATTTGACATTCCTATGCCACTGAAGAAATCAGAAAAGGTGAACAGAAATACAGTGATGAGGTTTTAAGCCTCCAAAACAGAAAGATCTGCTTTTCCCCAGCTTCCCTGAAAGACAGTTTACAGATGACTGCCATCCCACCTCACTCAAACTCCACTCAGGAAGGTATGGAAAGGGTCTTACCCTCACTTGGTTGAGAGCCTTCACTTTCTGGTACAGGGCAGGATTGATAGCTTGCACGTTGAAGAGAGGGTCACTCCAGATCTTGCTCAGCAG